TCCAAATAGCCTCCTTCCAAATAGCCTCCTTCCAAATAGCCTCCTTCCAAATAGCCTCCTTCCAAATAGCCTCCTTCCAAATAGCCTCCTTCCAATCCTTCTTCTCCTTCTCTCTCTGCAGGAGTTGTTTGATGTGATCCTGGATGAGAACCAGCTTGAAGATGCTTGTGAGCACCTAGCTGACTACCTAGAGGCCTACTGGAAGGCCACCCACCCTCCCAGCAACCTTCCCAACCCTCTTCTCAGCCGTACTTTAGCCACTTCAACTCTGCCGATTAGCCCTACGCTAGCCTCTAATTCACTGGTAAGGAATCTTACAGCCTTTTTGTGCGCACAGTAGTGTTCTGCTCGCTGCAATGGAGTAGTAGTAGAAGTGCTCAAGCCAAAAGTGAGACCTACACCTTCAGCGTGAGACATGTAGAAAAAGCAGTAAAAACAAGGTGTGCCATGAATGCATATAAAGTTAAAGCACATATAATTAGTGACTTTTCAAGCTGGGGATAGATGAACATTCACAGACAGAATCACATTACCAGGGTTCAAGTCCTCGCCCTGCCTCTCTCACTTTGGTCTGTAACTTGCCACTTACCTCAGGAACAGCAACGGCAGCCTGCCTCCTCTTTCACACCTAGGACAGGTGTGTGTCACTTTCAGTGCTATTAGGTATTTGAAGTTCTTTCTCCTTAGGCCAGAGGTAATTAAGTGCACACCCAATGTGTAGAGAAATCTCAGGGACCCAGTTTTCTCTCCTTTATCCAAAAATAAAGTTTTATTTGGTATATATGTAGGGTTTTGGGAATCTGTACACATTAAAACATTTTTCCATAAAGACTGAGCATAGCATTCCCAAAGCCCTCCACTGCCCCCCTCCAAAATAACCTACCACATAACACTCGACCTTGAAATAAAGGTGGGAAATCGGTATTTGACCCCACAAGAGAACATCAGCATTAAAAAGTGACCCTAGGCACTATCAGCGTACAGTCTAACATTTAAAAATGCCATTGTATTATCACCAAAAGAAATGACAGCACTGGGTTAGATTTTAGATTTCATTTCAGCATTTTTAGATACCTAAAAGGGACGAAATGTAAAGGCTTAGTAACTTAACTCCCTATACTCCAACCTTGACTGATGCTGTTTGCTCCCTGCTAGGGTTCTCGAGGTGACCAGCGGACTGATCGCTGTGCCCCAGCCCGTTCTGCTTCCCAAGTTGAAGAAGAGCCCTGCCTGGAACCAGTTAAGCGAACCCATCACCGTGCTTCCTCCTCTCAGCACCACAACCACCGCAGCGGTACAAGTCGAGGTCTCTCCAGGCAAGAGACATTTGACTCAGAAACGCAGGAGAGTCGAGACTCTGCCTATGTGGAGCCAAAGGAAGATTACTCCCATGAACATGTGGACCACTATGTCCCACACCGTGACCACAACCACAGAGAGGACACCCATGGGAGCAGCGAGCACAGGCACAGGGAGTCTCGGCACCGTTCCAGGGACGTGGATCGAGAGCAGGACCACAACGAGTGCAACAAACAACGAAGCCGGCATAAATCCAAGGATCGCTATTATGACAAGGATGGAGAAGGATTATCTAAAAAACGGAATGAGCCTGGGGAGTGGAACAGGGATGTTTACATCCGCCCGTGACTTAACACTTTTGTGTGCTTTTCTTTTTTTTTTTTTTTTTAAGTCTTGTGTAACAGCACCCTCAGACATTCTTTGAGGTCTACATTGCAAATCATGTGATCTGTCTTGTATATGTTGTATTGCTGTTGCTTGAATAGCAATAGCATGAGATAGAGTATTAACATTTTTTCTTTTGTATGTGTTCTATAAATCGCCTGGTACAGCTGCAGTCCTCCAATTGTATACTGGACTTTCCAAAAACTATTTGGGGTAGTTGCCACTTGAACAAAACCTGTTGCCATCCAGGTGGCAAAGTATTTTAAGAAATGTAGTTCCTATGTCCAGCAAACCAGAATCAGCCCAGATAAAAGTGGAATTTCTCAAATCTCCAGGTTTTTAATAGATAGACACCTGATTTGCATCTTCATTTATTCACGGACCACTGTTGCTTGTACCTCTGGCTGACTAAATTTGGGGACAGATTCAGTCTTGCCTTACACAAAGGGGATCATAAAGTTAGAATCTATTTTCTATGTACTAGTACTGTGTACTGTATAGACAGTTTGTAAATGTTATTTCTGCAAACACCTTCTTATAATAATATATATATATATCAGTTTGATCACACTATTTTAGAGTCTTAATGCCAAGTCAGCAGATTTGCTTTATGAATTACAGGGACTAGAAATGCCCACATTCAGGAAATTTGTAATAACATCGTCTAGACACCTATCCCCACTTTAGTAGAAAGTCTGTATATACTGTAAATATGCGTGATTGCTTAACTTGAAAAAGTTTGATTTCTAAATGTTTTACCATCCTTGTAAGTTTATAATTTTGACCATAAATTATGGCATATATAACCAAACCCCAAAGGTTGTTCTAATCCATGCAGTTCACACTGATGGTGACAAACACATTCATAGTAACTAGTGTCTTACTGTCACTGCACTGGAGTATACGAGCCGGAGTCCTGTATGCACGTGCGTCTGTGTGGAAGAGTGTGCACGAGTGACTGGTTGTGAATACTAATGAGAAAACTAGAGACTGAAATCTAGAATTCTACCCACCTGGCTTTGTATTTAATTGTGCTGTACGTTGCTTTAATGACCCAGTGAGCAGTCAGGGAATGTGAGGAAGCTTGCTGCCAAAGGTAACTAGGAAAGCATTCATCTGCTGGCTCCTTGTTTTTGCTCCTAGAGAGTGAAAGTACAGGCTACTTTTAACTGTTAGTGTCTCACTGGAATGTACAATCTTTGTGTGCTTGAGTATGTTTTAGTAAGAAACGTTTACACCGCTTGTAGAATTATTTCATAGGAAAATAAATTTTTCTAATTTCTCCCATTTCCTTTTCTAACTTCGCCTATTGTTCCTGTTTACCTCTCATTCCATCTCACCACCAACTGAAAAAGTTGCATTGTCTTTCAAAACCCAGAAGTGCTTCTTACAACCAAAGTTTCTGCTCTTAAATAATCAGGGCAAAATGAGATGAGTTAAAGTGCATAAAATATTAAACATATTTTCCTATGTCAGACATCTACTCTGAAGGGAAGCCTAGAAGATACTATCTCCATGCCTCAATTATCCTGCTGTATAAGAAGCTCACAATGGTTATCACACTAGGACGAAACCTTTTGTCTCTTACATGTATACATGTACATTTTGTCCAGTTATTACTGGACAGATAAAACAGTATTAGATGTGTAAGTAACTAGCTCTTGAAGTTTGTCCTTACAAAATGCCTCTATGATTGCCTAACTTCTGATTCCTATGTGATATTTTGTTAAATAAGAACCTGATTTTTCTGTTTTGTTTCTTTAATCTAGGTTCCTGCCAAATATTCTTGGGCCTTTCTAAGTAAAACTATTTTACATTTAACTCATTTCCCCTAAGCCTCAAGAAAAATGTTTTAAAAAAATGATATATACATAGTATTTTATCAACTAATATATGAAACATTCCCTTCAATCAATATTTGTTAATTAGCTCTGTACTACTGACATGGATTTATTTATTGAATAGAAAAAGTCATAATATATATATTAATTTTGATGCAAAAATTTCAGCTCATTACATACCATATTCCAATTTAAACTGCTTTTATAAACTTTCTAATAAATTTTCCATCATGGTAAGTAAGATGTCATTGATCACCACTCCCATCCTTACCACATACTTTCACCCTAATTAATTAGACTGTGGAATAATTAAATTCTTAGTTTAACTGGTATTTATCTTACTTGCTGCTACCATTAACCCCTCTGAGTCATGCTAATGATTCCATTTTTTAAATTTTGTACCTGAATTTTTAGTTTTTCACTTTACTGTGAAACATGTTAGTCTACACTATAGTACTCCTCAGAAAGTATATTGAAGGATTTGACTTAAGAGTATATGTGAAAATTGTATAGTGGGCATATATGTAAACAGTACATGCTAAATTTGTAAATGAAGAAATCATCCCAAGGACAATGGATTACTTACTGACTTGTGGAATGTAAAATTAGTCTCTTCACACAGCAAAGGCTTAATCTTAACTTAACTCAATTGTAGAATCAATTTTTGTAGTCAACCTAGAAAATGCTGGAAATGTTCTCAACAGTTCTATGTTTTTTGTCAAATCCATTTCAATTTTTCCTATGCTCTTTCTCTACTGCTCATTTAAGTTACTGTTACAAAAAGGTGCTGCTAAATGTAGGATGTCTTAGTTATATTGTACTTTGGGACAATGCCACATTTTTAACATGGTCTGCTCTGCATTCCTGTTAAATCCACTGTCAGCTACACTGAACTGTTCGACAAACCTGGTTTAAAGTCATTCATATAAAACAAATAAAGAGCTGGCTTCTGCACTGTTTATTATTGGTAGTATTAATTACCAATCATAGTGAGAATTTTAAATAGTCAACAACACTTACCCTTTGTGGAGCCTCATCTTCATGGGCAAGGACAATCACTGCTACTCCTTAGTGTTCTTCCCATTATGTCTGATTTAAAAAAAGATAACTTCACGTAGGAAAAGAAATTTTAAGATTTAAACACAGAATTGTCCTCTCACCTGACTTGCACATGTGCAGTAATTCTTGTTTCCAGGTTTGAAGTTTTTTTCATTTAGAAAGGAAGCTCCAAGATCCATCTTTGTAACAAAATTAACTCCTCACCCTTATTTGTTCCTTTATTCAGTGATGTAATGCCACTAGTCTTGGGCACTCTGATCTTATTCAAACTCCAAGAGCTAGGCTGTTAAACAATACAGGTAACTAAATGGTTCTGGGTCAGTTCAATTTTAGTTAACTTATATTTTCATCTATTTGTACTGTGCTACATTAACTAAAATGTACTGGTGTTGAATTAAAATGTTTTCCTGTTATACTGAATCTGTTAACACTAAATATGTTAAATGAATATATTATGTTCTTTCTCCGCATCTCCCTGATATTTTCCCTGAAGTTTCAATGGCCCTTAAAATTGAATCTTTTATTTCAATTTGCTCTATTTTGGGGAGGAAAAAATACAACACAAAATAAGGTACCATTTCTGAGTACTTTAAAGGTAAAGTTGTAAACAGTGTCCACACTTAATTCCATATGGAAGTTTTTAAAATTTACACTATAATACTAATAAATATAAAAATACAAGCAATCATCAAAAATCACAAATTTGCTGCTGGACTGATTCCCATTTTCATTCCAGCTTAATACACATGGCTAGATTGTGTAGAGAGTGTGAGAAATGAATTTTGTGGATTTTTAAAAACTCGTTTAAAGTTTTAGGTAGTACACTGAGTCACAGAAAAGGAAGTATCACAGGTAAACCAGTGATACTACATATAACATAAATCGAAGGGAAAGAAGTCAGTTACACATTCGAATCTTAAGCATGAAGTACTTTTCCCTTGTCCCATAAGCATTTGTTGATCTACTCAGAAATGGTAACAGAAATGACAGGCTCTTTGCCTCCAGGATTTCCCATTTCATTGGGTAGAAGTTCAAGTAAGTTAGTGAAAAGTAATAAGGGAAACACTTATCAGTTGCTGTACATAATTTGTTTACCACTAAAGATGTATGCCTAACCAACTTTCAGCAAAGGTGGTTCAAGTAATCTTTCTTCCCAAAAGAGACTAAATAAAGGCCTTACCTGATCCAAGAGACCTTGCAATCTTGATAGACAGAATACTTTTAAGAAGTTCCTGAGGAAAAAGTGAAACTAGTAGCGATTATTTCTAAATGTCTATTTTGGTTTAGGAATTTGGGGCTGATCACAAAGTCAATAAAACATGTAGTTAATACCAAATGAATATTTAAACTGTGCTATTTTAATGACTCTTTAATAACCTAAAAAGCAGGTAGATGAAGCTTAAGGTTACATTTTTTTTTTTAATGTAATCTTTTCTATTGACCACTGCACAGGTATATTTACTTACTTCTGCTTCAGATGATTGTGTAGATTTTGTCTGAATTCAAAATAGACTATAAAGTTCTCTTTCTTTGTCATGGTCTGTCATAGTCACAGTTGTCTTATCTGATGTTGGTGTTCTATGAAATTGTTCATGTTCACTAAAATTCCAAGGTCTAGCTGTTAGAAGCAGGTTTTCTTTTTCTCACCACTTAAATGTATAATGACTTACATAATATGTAACCCAGTAGGTGAAATGTACTCAAATTGAGAATATTCTCATTTTTGTTATCTACAAAATGAAGAAAATAATCACCCTATTTTTAGTCTAAAATCATGAACAATAACAGAGTTAAGGCAGACTATCATATGGACGGGGCCCAAACTTCATTTTGAAGAGTTGATTTACTAAGTAACAAGCAGACTCAGGTAAAATGCCCAGGTTTTGACACATGGTAAATATTCCGCTTCCCATGCCTCAACTTGTGGAATTATTTACAATTATTTTTACAGCCAAATGAACTATAACTAATTTTATTCCTTTTATTAGATTCACTGATTTTAACATTAAAAATTACTTGTGTTCTTCATAAATTAAAACAGAAGACTCCCAATGAAACTATGTCCTAGGCATCTCCTTTTCCTTATACTGATAAATTCATGATGAAAAAATTCTTTAAAAACACAAAATATAATCTCATCCCACTTCTTGACTACTTCCTCTGTCTCTCTTGATCTCTGGTAAAATAGGTGGCAGTCTTTTCTGTTTCCTTAACAACCATGCCATCAAATCACTTGGTCTGACAACAGTTTGGCTAAACACACACACAGAGCAAATGTTTAGAATTTTCAATTCTAAAAGCCTATGAGCTTTTGCATTTTACAAATTTTGCAATAAAAAAACCTATACAATCCTTATTTGCCAGCCAAATCATGTCTTCTGTTCTGGCATCTCTGAAAGAATCAATATCAGTATCCTGTAATGGCACAGCAGATGGATCAAATCGCTGCAGCTGTTTCAATTGTTTAGGTGGCAGGCCAGCTCCCATCATTCCCTCTCCTCCAATGTGTGGTTCCTGTTTAGAGAAACAATGAATAAATCTGGGTGGACATCCTATAGGTACTAAGTATGCCTGTGTCTGATTAAAGTTAAAAGACAAGTTAAACTGTAAATACCAAATTCTGAAAGAAAAATAACTAAATGCATTTTACTTTTCTGAAATATACTGTTTTTCCAGGAAAAGTTCAAATGGGAAACCAAGGACATAATATCACCTGATAAGTATTTTATCCCATGTGTTGACTGACTACCATAATATTTCAGAAGGCCTGATCTTTATAGCCAGAAAGACAAGGGTTCACATCACACACCTGGCACATTTTAGCAGTTCCCTCACCTATAAAACAGGTAACAGTTCACGGCTTAGAACTGAATATTGTTATCAAGTGGCATATAAAGGGCACTCAATAAGTGTAGCAATAATGACAATAGATAAACATTAGCTTTATTAAATTCCCCCACGCTGACAAGAGTTCCTTAGGCAACGAATCCTAATTTTTTTTTAAAGATTTATTATTTATGCATACATAGCTGGGATATAGGCCAGAGGTGCAGGAGCAGTGAGAGGATTCACCAGAGACAGAGTGGGGAGCAGGTCAGGCCAAGTGACGAGGTACACTGCTGAGGGGAACAGTAGGCTTGGTCAGGAGAGGTCTGCCGCGCCATGTGGATCACCTCTGGGGTGGGGAGCGAACTCATGCTAAAGTGGCTTTAGCTTCTTAGTTCTGGGCTTTAACTCACTGCACCACCAGGAAGGGCACCTAATCCTAATTTAATGCACCTCTCTGACCTCTCCTGTCTCACCTACTGCTTCCCTCAGCAGTGCATTTCAGTACATCTGCCTGTTCTGTGTCCCACTCTCACCCTGCCCCCAAACACCTCTGGCCTACACCCCAGTTCTGGTATGCATGCATAAGTAAATTCTCAAAAACTAAAAAATAGAACTGAAAGTCAAAACAAAAATGTTTAAATAAGATCATACATGCTAATAAAGAGTAAAACAGAATTACTATTCTCATATCAGATAAACTAGATTTTGTTCAGGAACAAAGATGAATACTATATAATGGTCAAGGGAAAAATTCACCAAGATGATATATTTGTTATTAATATTTACACAGCTAGTACAGGAACAGCTAGTTACATAAAACTATTAACAGATCTAAAACAAAATACTGACAAAAATACAATCTCATTTAGAGACCGCAACCATTACTGACACAAAGGGATAGATGATACAGCAGAAAGTTAACAAAGAAATAAAGACCTTAAATTGTTAGGACAGATGAATTTACTGGACATTCACAGAGCCTTCCATCCACCCAAAAATGAATATTCATCTTTTCCTGTGCACACAGAACATTCTCAAGAATATGATCATTATTACAGATTTAAATAATCTCAAGCATCATGGCTTAAAAACCAATAAAAAGCCACTTTAATAAAAGCCATAAAAGAAAGGCAGTGCTAATGTACCAAAAGCTTTTCAAATGTTACACATTTATATAAGAAACGATAAAGAAGCACTAATCCTGAACTAGTTCCCCCTTTGACTAGCCTTTGACATCCCAGTATTTTAAGCCTTGGGGGCTCTGAAGTAAAATGAGAAAATTTTGCAACATTTTCCATAGCAGAAAAATGTAGCACTAAAATTTTTGAAAACAAAAGTTCTCAGTACCATGAACAAGAGCCACCAGTGACAGAAATGTAACAGATACAGACTTGTGGCACTTGACATTTTAACAGAAAGGGAAGGAATGAAGACAGAAAAACAATGTCAGGACGTGAAAATCTGTGTGTGCAGCCCAAACTAGATTTAGTTCAAGAAATAGTCTTACTATTACAGTATTTGTTTAGAAATTTTGCATGTTTCTACACACACACCCTGTGTTTATCACTGCACTTAAGTTTCTATGGTTTATGAGATCACAGAGAAAAAACTGAAATTACTCTTACCTGGGACTGAAGCTCAAGGCAAGGAAATGTCTTGAGGGCCCAGGCAACTTGCTCTTCATTCTCTGCCAGTGTGATAGTGCACGTACTATAAACCAGTACGCCCCCTGGCTTCAGCAGCTGAACTGCCTAAAGAAAACGTGATCAGACTGTATGCTGCAGGGAAATGTTTTAAGGAACTTTCTTTTATGGGTTATGTTGCAAATGTCTGGCATAAATAAAATGGGTGTTCTGTATGACCAAGAAACATCTCTAAGTTACTGTTCCAGACTTAGAGGCATTTCATCATCTTGGAGCTATTACAGTACATTTAAGACCAGGAATTTCCCAATACGATCATTCAGTTCCAGAACTTTAGATACCATTTTATGCTGAAAACTCAACAAAGTTGCACATTTAAGCCAGATTCCTTGCTGAATTTCATCATATATTCAATGGCCTTCTCACTAGTTCTGTAATTAAATTCAACATGTGCCAAACTGAACTGCCATCACTCTGAAATCTGCAGAAGCCTTCCCATCCTTTCAGATGTTCAGGTCCCTATCTTCGCAGTATTCTTTTAGGCCTCTGGTTCATACTCACTATCCACTTGCAAATTTTACTGGTTCTACCTTCAGACTATATCAAGAATTTGCCTACTTCTCAGCTTTTCTACTTCTGTCATTCTGGCCAATGCCCACTATCTTTTACCTGAATTACTGCAACAGTCTCCTTTGTTAACCTGTTTTGTTCTGTCCTCCTAGTCTATTGCTGCGATATAGCAGCCACAAAAGTACTTTTAAAACTTGTTGTGTCTCAGCATAAAGCTCTTCAAGTGCCCTCCATTTCACTTGGAGTCAAAGTCCACTTCCCTACAGTAGGTTTCGAGGCCATATACAAAGCAGACCCCAACTCTGCCGTTCTTTTTTCTTTTTTTTTTTTTTTAAGATTTATTTATTTATTCATACAGAACTGGGGTAGAGGCCAGAGATGTGGAGGGTGAGAGGATTCATCAGGGACACAGTAGGGAGCAGAACAGGCAGATCTACGAAGTGCACTGCTAAGGGGAGCAGCGGGCTGGTCAGAAGAGGTCTGCTGCGCCATGTGTATCTCCTCGGGGCAGACAGAATCGAAGGCATGCGGGAGTGACTTAAGCTTCTTAGTGCTGTGCTTTAACCCGCTGCGCCACCACGGAGGGCCCTCTTTTTTCTTTTTAAAAAAAGATGTATTTATTTATGCTTACAGAACTGGGGGTACAGGGGCAGTGGGAGGATTTACCAGAGACAGCTTGGGGTGCAGAACAGGCAGACTGACAAAGCACATTGCTGAGGAGAGCAGTGGGCGTGTTCAGGAGCGGTCGGTCTGCCAGGTGGGACTTCCTGGTGTACTGCAGTGGCTTCAGAGAGCTTCATAATGTGGTGCTTTAACCTGTTGTACCACCAGGGAGAGTCCCAACTCTACCTTTCTGACCTCACCTCATATACCTTGCTTACTCTGCTTTAGCAACACTGGCCTCTGCTGTACTGGAATATGCGTGGTACACTCAGAATCTGTGTGAGCTTAGAAAGATCTTCCAGTTCTCTACACTGCTTGCTCTTTTAAATCTAATCTTTGCTTATATATCACCATTTAATGAATGCCTTTCCTAAGTACCCAGGCAAAATTGCAACTATCCCAATCCAGCACTCTTATCCTTCCTTAGTTAGCATTATATAGCCTTGTAATACACTGAGTAACTTATCTATTTGCCTCCCCAATTAGAAAACCATGAATAAAAAAAAGAATTATTTTTTTCACTACAGTATTCCAGCATCTAGAAGAGTATATTAAAACACAGTAGATATTTAATATTTGTGTAGTAAATAAATGAAACAGGAAAGCTGTTACACAAAAATAAATTTGTTGCAAATAACTAAAATATATCTTTTCAAATACCCAGATTTTTAAATATATAATATATACAGGTATTTACATAGCATTATACACACATATAGTTATGCATTCTCAACCAGAGTATGCTGATAAAATTTCAAAATTTGATACTGTGTCAATGAGTATTTTAACCACTTTACATGCAATTTTTCAGTTATAAAAACCATGAAATGTTTACTATTTCTAATAATAGGTAACCAATTGGATAAAGCTAGTATCCTCATTCTCAGCTCTGAAAAGCAATGTACTTAAAAGCACATATGTGCAGGACCCACAGCCCCAAACAAGTAGTGTCTTGATTCTAAATTCCACATTCTCAGTCAACTTGTATCCATGCCAAGCAATTTATTAAATTCTCCCACACACTCTGCCAGCTACTACTTTTCACAAAGATCAATGTACCTACTTTACTGCTGTAGACTATGCATTTATAAATAGATGTTGAGAATAAACAATGAAATCAAATGCTAATCTATATTCTGTAAAATCCACTGAATCATTTTTGAAAGACTGAGAGAAAGCCCCAAATATTCTATCTGAACTTCATCAGAAATGTACTGGGGTTCAGTTAAATGTACA